CTTCWGAGCAATAATTTGTCCTGAAAAGATGTCTTAGTCTTGGCTGGCAAAATTTGAATACATTCATCCACCCCTTTTGTCTGGCTGAACATCCATATACCAGCATTGATTAATTTTAAGAGTTTCCTTTCCTRGTTTTGAGCATTGTGCTCCACTCTCATGAGAAGCTCAGCCTTATGAATGCGATGAAAACAGTAACTGATGGATTGACATGTAGCAACAGGGCAGGGGAGGAAGGGGTTTGTGTTATAAGGCGCCTACCCAGGAGATGGCAGCCGAGAGATGGCCGAGCGGCAGGAGCCCGCTCAGGTGCTGGCCATGCTGGGAAATACAGGCCCTTGCTTCGACTGTCTCATGAAAAGTGCCACTGTTGCACTCAGGAATGAGGCCTTTAGATTGCTCAACTTTGAACTGGATTCGGGCCTTTCTCTCAGCTCACTTTATGCATATCTGTTCACGTAAGTTGTTGTTTTATAAAGTAGTACATTCATTTGCTGCTCCAGAAACATTAACAAAAAAGAACTGCTAAGTCTAAATTATATTAATTATAAAGAAATTGTATGTTAAGCAGACAGTGCTGGCCTTATCCCCTTAAAATGTTCAGAAAAATAGTCTTGGCCATTAAGTGCCATTAAATATCATCAAGTGTCCTGTGGAGATGATTGAAGAGTGTTCAGAACAGGCTGATGAATATAAATGACCTTAGGCCTATTTTTTGAAAAACGAACACACCGTAAAATTTGATCTTAGCAAGTATTACAAAAATTAGCACCTTAATGTATCATTATAGCAGTTATTTTTTTTTGTAAAGTTCATTTCAACTATTTAAGAGGCAAATACATTTTAAAAACTGCAACCAAATGTTGTGATTGCATGCAAAAAAATGGACCAATTAACTAAGAACAGAAAGGTTGGCTTGAAATACAGGGCTCAACTTTTCTGAAGCTGTGAAAACGTACACTTAATTACTTGCAAAGGCAATAACAAATTAAGGCAGTTAGCTATAGCTTTTGAGATCCATTTTCATAASTTTGTTTTTTTGAGTCTTTCATTTGCAAGCTTTTGCTGTAGCTCAGTTTTGGATGTAAAGCACACCCTAGTGTGCTTTAACCCTCMTCAATAACTCAGCCCCAACCAGCCAGTCAGTCCTCTTTCCCAACAAGGAAAAGAATRGGAAGAGTAAAAGTGAGAAATCTTGTCGGTTRAGATGAAGACAGTTTAATAGAGAAAGTAAAAAGTGACCATGCAAGCAAAGCAAAATGAGTGCATTCACCACTTCCCATCGGCAGGCAGGTTCAGTCATCCCCAGGAAAGCAGAGCTCCGCCATATGTAACAGTGGCTTGGGAAGACAAACACCAAACACGGAGTGTCTCCCCCCTTTCTTCTTCTCCTGGCTTTATGTGCTGAGCTTGATGCCATATGAGATGGGTATTCCCTGTGGTCAATTGCAGGCAGCTGTCCAAGCTGTCCCCTCTCACCCTCCTATGCCCCCCACAGCCTACTCACTGATGGGGTGGCATGAGGGAACAAAAAGGTCTTGAAACTGTGAGCATTGCTTAGTGACAGATAAAACATCCCTGTGTTATCAAGTTTCCAGCATAAATCCAAAACACAGCCCCCTACCAGCTACTGTCAATAAATGTATCCCTATCCCAGTCAAAACCAGCTCATACATAAGTCAGTATATAAGGAATCTGGCTTTTAATTCTGCAAAACACCAAGACTTGGTGAAAGACAGAGTTTTGTGCCTTAAGATTGGGTTCATCTGGTATTGTATTATGGAAGTGTTAAGATTGGTAGCCTACCTGACTGTTTATGTACCACTGTTAAAAGTAYGGACAAGTTAAAAGTGCAGATTAAAAGTTCTGTGACAGCATGTTGTTTTCAGGTGGTAGTTCCTAACAAATTGTCTTCCTATCTTCTTTTTATTTATAGCCAAATTCCTCCCTCTCTTCCTTTGCCACATTGTTCCTGCTGAAAAGTTGAATTTAGCTTTTCCAGCATGTAGCTGAATGTAGCCAGAGCCAGAGTCATGATGTGCTAGTGTTGACCAGTTCTGTAAATTAAGTGCAGAGGGTGGTAGAATGTGGTGTAATTTTAGAYACCAGTGATGATAACCCCATCTTTATAGGAAGGTCTGGCCATGGTAATGTTTTAGCATCATCTATTTARCTAGAGCTTTCCAAATATTTTTCACTAATGTGAACTGGGTTATATTAGAGTACAGCTTACTGCTAGTGTTACACTCCTCACAGTGATCTACAAGACTTCAAATGCAGTTCCTTTATGTACCTAGCAGAGTCATTCCCTTGGGGTTCTTACTCTGTGCTACTGGAACAAAGACATATATGGCTCTATTTAATGCAGGACTTTTTCAGTWGTACTGCTTCTCTTCAGAGTGCTGTTTAAGAAGAAATAAGTCTGAGTTCAGCAGTAGTCTTGGGTTTTATTGCAGTAATGCTGTTAGGCCCTTAGACAGGCCATCACAGTGATACAGTCCCTGCTCCCACAGAGCTTACATGCTAGCTTTTAGAAGTCAACTTTATTATAAACTCTCTTGTACATCCCAAATTTATACATAGGTTCATAWGTATAGAAAAAACCAACGCTGATTTTGGACTTGATTCTAGTACCAGGAAATCAGCAGCTAGAATTCCAGACCAGACTCAGATATAACTTGAGTTTGCTGAAGGTATTGCTGACTTTTTTTGCTGCAAGCACAAACAGAAGTACATGCTGAAGATCAAAATTTCAGAATATTTAAAACATGCTGTTTCAAAAAAGTAAATTTAAAAAAAAAACACCCTTGCACACAATACAAAATATACATAATATTTCCAGTATTATTTGCAGTTGTGCCAACTTAAAAGTGCAATAAACTCACCCATTACAAAAACTGAATTAGCCATTTAAGTATTAATTGTAAAAGAAAAATAAACTAATAACTTGAAGTGGTTAGGATACAAAAACCTTACCCATTGCTATGTTTCCCCTTTATTTTGGGAAAGCAGTATTTTGTCCAGGCTGGGAAGGAGAATCCTGTTGTCCATGTCAAAATATAACCCAGTGAAGACTAGTGAATTGAATCATTGCTACCTGATGGATAAACTGGTAAATCCCCAAAGGAGCTGCATATTGGATATTGACCTGTACCTCCTGCTAAATGCAGAAGAAGGAAATCTGGGTGAATGCCTGAATCTCCCTTGCAGGCAGCACCAGAAATTGAAGATTCTGCCATCTGGTGTATTGTGAAATTCCACCTCTGCTCTGGTGTGCATGGCCATGATTATGTAGGAGCTTTCCACATGTATGGCYGTAAGGGTTATTTTTTTTTCTGCACAAGTTCATATAAGAATTGAGGCAGACAAATTTCTTATCTTTACTTTCAGAGAATTTGCCCTCAAGGTTTATAATTACAAATCAGGAGCTTATTCTTTAGATTTATGCAATTACAATTTTTTCCCCCCAGTTTTTAAATAATTGTTTTGGTCACAGACTCAGCTGATGGTAAGAATCTTGTTTGATAATTGAGATAAGAATCTGAACTGTTTTTCAGAATGTTAAAAAAAAACAACAAAACACCCCAAAACATAGATACAAAATAAATTCAAAGCCCATGTAAAACTGCACTGAGCACAATCCAGCTGTTGCTGCAAATAAAGCTGCTACTTGCCAGAGATGGTTGGCTTTTGACTGATTACCTATTAAAAAAAGATTAAGTAAAATTTCAAATGCGCTGAAGCCTAGCTCCTCAAAAAATAATGGAAACAATCCAGCCTAAGGGGAAAGAAAACATGACTTTGTGTTCTCAATGAGGCACATTTGCATGTTTTACTTTTCAAGTAAATCACCTCAAGTTGGAAACAAATCTCACTTGCATGGCAGCATACACAAGAAAAGCCCACACATCTTCTCTCACTGTCAACTGTAAGCCTAGCTGCCAGCCATGAGAGAGAAAGGCAGCCAAAGGGCCAATTCCCCTGACTCTTACCATTCTTACAGCATGGGCCTTTGTAAGACTGAGCTTTCATTGTAACCAGGCAGCGTAACAGCATGTGACGAACTTGAGGTGTGCAATCAACACAAAGTCACCCAAGTGTTGTGCTTAGATAAGCTCATTCCAGAGCACTACAGTACTTCACTGTATAAAACATAAGTTAACTTCATCAAGACATGAACAGGTGGGACCAAATAAAATGTTACAGGTAAGGAGGTTGTACTAAGCTTTGGTCTTCTGGAGGGCACTGAGATGCTAAAGAAGTAAGTGCAGTAAACATTTTACAGAGTTTAGATCTTCACTATCCCCTTTTGTAACGTGCGTAATTCCTCAGTCAGCTATCCCCTTTAGTTCACTCTATGCTCTTAGTCTTGCAAAATCTTTCAGTACAGAATTAAAGGCAAGGTCTCGACTGTCTTTCCTAYTTATGTCAAAAGCCAAACTGATTTTCAGAGGGACCGAGAGCGTAAAGGCCAGCGTAATGGTAGTGGTAGTGCTTCTCAAGATGAAAACCAGTAATAACATTGCAGAGAACCTGCTGTAAGTGATTATGAAATTCGTATTTTCTTCTCAGGGAGAAAGCATGCAGAAGAGAGTTATACATATTACTTGGCAGTATTTCCCCAAAACAATATCCTTCAGTAATTTAGTTGTGACTTTGGTGCAAGAAATACAAGTGAACTTTTGGAAGACTTTGCCCAACCAGTTTGTCCTGTGGCATGCAGACAAACATCTTCATACACAAGTTTCCAATTTATAGATTGGTTAAAGCAAAGGTTTGCCGGTAGAAATTATTTTTCTAAAACAATAAGGATGGAGCTAGTCAATGAAAAATGACTTTTCTTCTCCTAGTCTGGAAACAGTATTCACCACACATTCATCATCAGCTTAATAGAAAATGTCCTTTAACACATATGGTACTTGTCAACTGAATTACCAACTGATGCTGTTCCACAATAATCTGCAATAAATTTTGTTCTGTTTCACTCTGCAGTGGATTAAGAGAAGGTTGCTGGCACAGTATGTTACTGTATACTTCGGACCTGCCAGTTCTAAGGGTTAAGTTTGTTTGAGAAGCAAAAATTTACAGGAAAAGGCACTATAAATCATTTTTGAAAAAAACAAACTGTCCTGCAGTTACTCTTACAATAGAGTAGAATCTGTAAAATATTTTCATCTATAAAGACATTTTCGTTACAAATGTTTAAATGTTACTAAGCTTTAAGGCACTCCAGCTGAAGAACTGACTGATCAAACTACTGTTGGTGGCTCAGGTCTCCTCTTTATCCATGTAACTCATCTTCAGTCTTTGTCCTTTGTGAGTTCTGCAATTTCATCAACATCTTCTATATCCTGTGTCATTTTCTCATACTGTCTCTTGAAGAAGCCAAGCTGTGAGAAGTATTAAAATAACACCACATTGCAGTCAGTCATTGATAATTAATTTCTCAGCAAAGCTAAATACTGTGATGGTAGACTGCACATGTGTGCATGTCCACACTAGAGAGTTTGATTTGTAGACAATTCCTGCCTMTAAAATGAAAGGAGCTGGGTCCTAAACTCCTGCCTGGAACAACCAAGTGYTAGAACAGCAGTGCTAATTAGCCACTTTTCTCCCTGCCAAGATACAGATACTTCCACAATGCCTTGGTGAGCCAAGAAGCACTTCAAACACCTATGCCCTGGCACACAGAAAAAAATTCCCCTTTGTCTAGGAAACATTTGTAATTTACTTTTTGCCCTTGTTCTTTCTCTGCTCTTCTGCCTGTTCAGTACATATCCTTGGCCRCCTTGCTGGTAATCCCCACCGTTGTCCACTGGGAATATCATGGGTGTTCAGAGCACAGTCTAGGGTATTATGGAAGGAACACACAGTCTCAAAAGGAAAAAAATAAATGCCACAGCCCCTGTTTTGAAAGACTGACGATTCATTTATCATCTTCATGTTTCCAGTTTCTATGATGACCCATTTCATAAACCCTTCTAAAATACATCAAGAGTGTAATGCCAATGCAGTATCATTCATACYACCGAACTGCAGCTGTGGTTTTGTTTAACACTAGAGAAGAGAGATTCCAAAGAAAATAGCCCAAATGTATTTATCCCTTTCTGGTTTTAAGAATATAAATGCCTACTTACTTTCCACAAAACAGCAACCAGTACCAACAGCAAGAGGAGTCCAGCCAATATACTGCCAATCACAACACCTACTGGTACCTCAGCTTTCTCATCTGGCTTCATTATTGTAACTGGGATCTGAAAGCAGAGAGACTGTGTCTTAGGGGTTAATAAAGTAAGATTTGTAAACCAAGGATCAAGAGTGTCTGGACTGCACACGTCCAGGATCAGTGACTGGGACACACCAAGCAATTAACAGCCCTTTCAGTGGTGTCCCAGGGTGCCTGGTTGCACTACCACTGCACACAGCAGTGCCAGCTAAAGACTAGGGGCACTCATCACTCTTGGCCATGCGTAATAGGCATTGAACCAATCTCTCCTGCCAGCTGTCTCTTCATTAACAGGAGGCCTTTCAGAGGCCCCACACACCATCACTGTGTAAACCAGCCATATTCACATGAAGGCGAGCACTAGCCTGGTGTACAGCCCCAGAATCAGAGTCATGCTGGAGAAGCACTACTGTCCACCAAGCGTTGCCTATGGCAGGCAGCTGTAGGAGGCAGTACTAATCCCTGAGGCCAGACACCACCGCATCTGCTGAAATTCCAACCCTCCTGCTGGGCAGGCACCTCTGTCTCCTTTGCCTGCTGCTCCTACCTTGTGTGAAACCACTAACGACTTGACAGATCTTCTCATGTTGATCTGTGTTCTCCTGGGTCAACTGCATGGATTTGCTGCAAGATGTATGGGTCAAACAGGAGCACTTCTAGCACACCAACATTTCCCGAACCACAAGCAATACCAGAGAGCTCCCAGAAGAGCATACAGTGTCTGGAAGTAAGTTTTCAGGTGATACCCTATCTAGCTGGATTAGTTATAACAAAATATATAATTTCATATAACAGAGTTTGTCGGGGAGACATTGCTGTAGTATTTATGAACTGTCAGATTTAATCTTGGAAAGACATGCATTTAGCTGGAAGTTTTTTTCCTTCCTGAAACATGATAAAACAAGTCACACTGGTTTACTTTCTCAGGGTTGCTTGTTAGGTGCATTTGTCTGGAGTAATTTAATCTTAAGCTTTCTGGGAAACTTGCACTGGACTGACATCTCAGTGATTTAAGTCATTTCTGCTGGAAGGCTCCAGTGTTGTGCTAGGTGTGGTTATGTGTATTCATTTCACCAAGGCAGGATTGCTTTGTGTATTTTCTAACTGAATGGCCATAATGATGATTCTAGCAGCTTAACATTTTGTCTCCAGCTGGCAGTCCTTTCCAACTTGGAAAAAATCTGCAGGCTTTTACGTAAAAATACCTAAGCAGCTTCCCCACATAGCATCACAAGGCAATATTCATTCATTTGGCTAAACAACAACCCAGTTCATCCAATGTAAAAAGCCAATTTCCTATATGCAGTTTGCCTACTAATGCTTTCTCCATTAGATTAACAGTGAAGTGGCACTGCTGGAAAGGAAAATTGATGCCTAAGAACAAATTATCTTTCCTGAAGTTAAGTTGTGGTCAATAAGACGTTGTGAAGGGGCTTCACCTCATCTGGTGTCGTATCTGCAACATGGTTCCTTAACTTTCAAAGGAGGATAAGATTTTTTAGGGCCTAATTCACCCCAGTTATTCTCAGGATCATCTTTAAGATGAGATGAACTGCATTTCAGAAATACCTGTTCCTTCCAAGGACCAGGGCATAATGTTTAATTCAGATATTAAACTGAATGAATCCTATCACATCCATCTAAATTAACAAGATAAGCAGGGAAATAAGCTCCGTGTGCTTTTGCACTGTCCTGTTCCCAAGGAGGTGTAAAGGGCAGACTGGGTATTCCTGCTGGCCTGACAAGAATTAAATGYAGTGCTGGGTGCTCACTCCACGAGTCAGACTAACTGCTCCAGGGAGAATGTACCGCCACAATCTGGCACATTTACCAACACTTCTCACAGAGCAATAGGCCACTGAGTAAGGATCAGGCTCCAAGTCACCAAAAGCCACCAAGTCTTTCTCAGGAACTGTGTGGATAACTTCCATGGTCTGTTCGGCTATTGCCTCAAGGTGTATAAATTGCAGCTGCATAAATCGCAGTGTGTAAATGACTAGGAAGGAATTAACTTTTATTGGTCAGATATCATTTGAATAATTAAATTCTAGTTCTCCTGAAATTGCCTGCAGAATTTCCTGAAATTGCCTGCAGAACTTCTGGTAATGTAGATTTGGCAGTACCGTTTTTCAAGTGTGGAAAAATACTTAAGTAATACATGGTTTATGAGCCACTTAAAAAGCCTGTGCAATTACCTGGAATATTTGCATTGTAAAGTAATGACTTTTATCTCCTAATAGAAATAATACCATGCCAAACTGAAGCACTCAGAACACTTCAAACACTGGCATGTAATTTTTCTGCAAAAATGTATTTCCTTTGTTCTTCAAGCACTGGAGGTTTTCCTGATTACAAAATCGTTTATTTAGAGGTTCTTCACAAGAAATAGAGTGATTCATGGGAAACCAATGATTAAAAATGGTATTGTATGATGGTCCTACCACCACAGTGAGATAGATCCATCAGTAACTGTTTTTGTATATATTTATTTGAATTCTCCACTGCCTGTGAATGGGCTAYGCTGCACATTCTTACAGATACTTGACTCATTTACTAATTTGCATTTTGGTTTTTACTACCTTTATTTTATGGATAAAACAGGCTATTAAATCCTTTAAAAATAAATCTGAACTTAGTACTGCAAATGGAGGGGCGTTCCTCTCAAGATAAAGAATAAGATATCTTTTATTACAACAGTACCAAAGTGCTACTGTATTCTTCCAGTAGTTTTTATGTTTATATGTAGCAGACAGAAAGCTTGGGAGCAGAATTCTATACTAATAAAGCAGTGGTTTGGAGACTTCTCTTGAGATTAGCTGTGTCCACATTGTCCATATGATAGCTATTCCAAATGCTAAAAATATTCCACATTMCTTTACAAATGAGATTATTTTCTGGAGACCTTTGCCAAACATTTGTCTAGAAACATCAAACTCTGCACACTTATAGAAGTAAGTAAGACTATAAATCAGATTTGTGAACATGTTTCCCAGAGCTCTTTTATCCATAACAATTAATTCCATTGCAGAAAGAAGTCCAAATTTTGATCTTTTCATGAAGGAAAGCTATACGAATTTCAGAAGTGCCTGACTTTTTCTCATAGTTCTACAATTTATTTAAGGCCTAGAGGTTTTAACTATGCCTGGTTTATATGGCAGTGGGCTGAAATGAAAACATTTTAATAACTTAAGGGAGTTGTATTTAGTCAGAAGGTTACATAGTTCAACATAATCAAATTGCTATGTACTCCTAAAGGACACTGAAAATTTAATACTATCACTTTAATACAGTCAAAGATAAAGAAGTTGAAAAAATATACTTGTGTGTCACTTACAGTTAGGGTATTCTCTCCAATTATAAATAACTCAGGGTCATGTGTATCGATTTTTGCCTCTGCAGAGAGTTGTAATGTCTGGAAAATTAACTGAAAGAGAAAATTAAAACAACTGTAAAGCTGTCATAGGGCAACTCAATTAGAATGTAGATACCCTAAAATGATTCTCTTGCCTTGAAAGGAARACTTCACATCCAGAAAAAAACACAGAAAATTTAAGAATTTTTTTTTTACGTCCATCAAAGTAATAATCCACTTAGCAATCAGTAATCCACTTAGCAATGACACTGGGGAGCTGGCTTTTTTTTTTTTTTTTTCTTTTTTTTTTTTTTTTTTTTTTTTTTTTGCTTAATGTACATTTCAAGCAAAACAGAAGGAATTATTTACATAACCCTTTTTATAGTTATTTTAAAGCTGTCACTGCTGCTAGCAGGGAAGAGATGGGGAAAAATAACAGTGAGAAAAGGAGACAGCAACAGAAGACAGATGGGAATGGCCTTTGACAGAAATGGAAACTGGATGTTCTTTTACTTCCCCCTACCCTCACCTCCATCCAATGCTTCTGTTTTTCCCCATTTATTTTTTCCTATCATCATGTGTTCCTCTCCATGTCTCAAATTCTRACATAGCTCTCAGCTTAAACTGAGAAAAAGACAAAAATCTTAAGCCAATTCCTATTTGAAAAGGGACCTTGTGCCAGATCCCACTTCCCTCTGTGGATGTACTGGGAGGAGAGGGGCTGGCTGTGTAGACACTGACAGTTCACTGCTGCTCTTCTCCTACAGCAGCACGAGGAATGGCCTCGGGTTCATGGGAGCACAGGAGCACTCTCCAGCTGAACCAAAGGCAATGCCTGCTCTGTCATTTTGCCCCCTCAGCCATTTCTCTGAGGCAGGGCCAGGTACCTCTTGCACAGAGGCAGCTGTGGGGCTGCAGCAGCCAACACACACCAATCTGCCTGTCTCTGCAGCGTGAGTATTGCATCCCTGCACTGTGGTCATCTGCCCAGGAGGTGTGTTCTGCACCTARAAGTTTAGAAATACACCTGAGCACTATTCCAAGCATCTCAATTCCTAAACACATKTTTTCTTTGCTTAGCAAGCCTGCTATCCCTTTTTTGGACTATGGCTAATTGCACTAAATAGAAAGGCTAATGATGTGCATTACTGATTGAGTGCTTGCAAGATTATTTGCACTGAATTTTGACAATCAAGCAAAAAATTACGAAGTGGGAGATGCGAGGAGAACTGTGACCYTTGTTCTTTCCCTTCCATTGGCCAGTGGTAAACAAACCATTTCCACTCACTTTTTTTGTGAGTGCRGTAACCTTTTGTTCAGGTCTCCACCTTCTGCATACCTAACAGCATTAACAAATGGTCTTGACCTGATTAGAAAAATACAAACTCTGAAGACAAATGCCTTTTGTCACACACTTCCATAACGCATTTTACAATACCAACCTGACCTTTTCCTTTTAAGAGTTGAATGCTAAAGCTGACAACAGCCCTGCTGTTAAATGTCAATACCTGCCACAAGATTCGCCAGACACACTACGGAGACTGCATCATGTTCCTGACGCATTAGGCAAACCCAGGTCTCCAAGACCATTTGGTTGGTTGCCTAGCTAAGAAGCAAACATGCTCTAACTTCAAAAGTCTGTTAACTCATAATGAGTTATTGCCTGGAGGACACATGGTGATTTAAAATGGAAAGGCTGAGACATTACTGATGGATATTTTAAGCATTCTGTAGGTCTCAATAAAAAAAAACTGTTTCTTTGACACCTACTCTAATAAAAAATCAATTAAAGATGTTTTTCACAGTTTCTATACCAAATAAAACTGGCAGCACTAACAGGGTTTTGGCAATCTGATGTGACTCAAAAATGATCACTATGYAGGCTGTGATGTTCAAAAGCTAAAAGCATGATTATTTTACAGGCTATGATGATACTGTCCTCTGCTGTACTATGATGAGTTTTTTGGAAACTGTAGTTCCCCTAGAATTAATTTAACATATGTAGGAAATGTATTTTTCAGCTGTGAAGATTGCATTATCACAGCAATCTGTTAGTTTCTGTGCTGGACTGAAGTTTTATCAGCTCCTTTATGCAGCTTCACTACTTTCAGATTCAAGTTTTCGATCTGGAAAAACACACAAACCAACTTAAAGTACAGCAAAGTCTTTCTAGATTGTAAAGTCTCTTTACTGAACAGCTTATACTCACAGCAGCAAAGGTTCCATTCCAGATTTGGGTGGACACATTCACAAAGTACTCTCCCTTCATCATAATATGTTCCAATTTGCATATGATGGTACTGCACTTCATGTTCTTACAGTTCTGCCAGGGGAAAGAGCAAGAAGAGGCAACAGCATGCATTAAACATACACATAAAAAAAAATGATTCATTTTTTAAATGTTTTTTTTAATTCCCGTTCATTTAACATATAATTAAAAAATTCTTTGAACATCCAGACTTTTTGCCTTTGCCATTCTGTGCATACAAATTAAGTGCTTGCAGGCTGTGCTAAAGCAGATGCAGTTTCTGTGAGAACACCCATAGACTGAGCTCTCGGTCTGTAAATGATGAATGCCACCCCATCACATTTGAGCTTTCCTCACAAATACAGCAATGGGCTCAGAAGGACAGCGCTGCTTCCCTGTCCTGCTTACTGCAGCCCTGATTCTTACTCACCAGCTCTTTGGAAGCTCTGAAGTTCTCTTTTGTGAAAGATGGAGAATAAGGTCTTTTCCCTATTTGCAGTGGATTTATCTGAGCTTCACAAGTAACACCTTTGGCCTAGGAAAGATGGCAGGAGTGAGACTGGATCATGATAAGCAGGAGTTTATAGTCATCATAATAATATATGTATTTCTGCGATTACATGGTGTCTTGTAAAGGCTAGATTGTGAACTAAGAGAGATTGTATATGGCTTTGGTCAGAAGTAAATGGTATAATATTTTTTTCCCTGTATTGAACTGAAGGGCTTTTCCTCATGTARCAAATTCATTTTTATGATAACTTCCCCAGGAACTTAGAGAACTACCTTATTGAAGAGATCCAGATACTCCACATTTGCTAGGTAATAGGCTAGTGTACTGCTGGCATTGTGGTCCTCCCTGTATGAGGAAGCGACAAGGAGAAAGGCCACGGATTCTCTTAAACTAAGCTCTAATATTGGGGAGATAATTGACGTTTGTTGTACTGATAAACCCCAAAGCACAGTTCAGTTCTATACCTCATCTGTGGTGACTGCAGTTAGGTACATCAGTGGATTGTCTTTGCTGGTCAGTTCTGGAAGATTGATTGTTACAGATGCCATCTTTACTGGAATACTCCCTGCTGTTACCTGCAAAACAAATAACTCAAGAATTAACTCAGGTAGTTATGCTTACATATGCCCAAATTATTTGATATAGCAAGAAAATTAGAAATAATGGATCAGTATGGAATAACTGGACTCCTTTTACATCATTATTTTTTGTACTAGACACTGGGGTAGTAATTTTGTGAATAGCAAAGCAGAAAGCGTACTCTATAGCTCCAGGTTCCTGTCTGTTTTCTTAGCAAAGCTCATATTAACTGCATGAAATATGTTTTGAAAAGCAATATTCTGCCACAGCCAATAGGCCTGTTTAGTCCTTTGGAGTAGCAGTTACAGGAATGGAAATGGAACATAATTTAAGTTTCTTCCACGTTGCATAGTTGGATCTATGTTTTTTCTGCGTTATGTAATAAGTGCTGTGATTTGGCTAGATCTTGCATCAGGTTTGCGCCCTTAACCCTTGCCAAACTTCAAGTTTCAAAGTCCAAGCTTGCAAAGACTTGTTTTTCTTTATCAAGTTGTCAGGAGACTCTGTGAAAAAACAATCTAAGTTGGCCTAAAGTTAAGCATTAACCATCTTCCAAATATGTAAACAGTGCAGGACCAATCCCTCCCCACATTGTGCAAATGTCGTCCTTAACCTTATGAAGACTCTAAGCAATTATGCTATTTGCAATTTTTTTTTCTTACTTGACCTATTCAAAAGCCTCAAAATCAGACAATAAAAGCATGAGTGTTGTTTTTAACTAAGTTTTGGGAGCAGGCTACAGAGGGAGCTAAGGCAACTTCTTGAACCAGAACAAAACACACTTACTAACCTTAACTGAGAAGTTGAACGTGGGGCCAATATCTTCAAAATTATTCACAGTGGAAGGAATGTTATGACCAGAGTATACTTCATAAAAGTTGATGTTGGCAAGCCTAGTTAACAACCATAAAACAATACATTTCAATTTGGCAGCTGCTTTGAAAACATATGTTATTGGATATGCCTTTGTGAAACAGGTCAGAAGTACAGACAGAGAAAAAGTCAATCATTTAGATTGCTGTTTGCATTTTACAAAGTTGATTAAGAAATAATTGAAGCCCAGAGCTGGATCGAGTATGTGCAATTAACACAAGAGAGTTGTATGGGATACAGGCTCTCTTAGGCCTCTAGATCCTGCATTGTTTCAGGGCCATATTGCAAACTTCTTTCCTGGGCACAAATTCCAGCATTCAGCCTTGCAGTCGCCTTCTCCAGAAAAGGCCTCCCTGGCAGTCTCCCTTGGTACATCTGTAACTGGCTGGGTGTGTAAGCACAGGCATTGCCCTGCTTGTATACATGGTACATATCACACAGCCCCCAGTCCTCTCTGGGTCACTTTCTTTACTATTTAGGAGGTTTAAAATCCAGAATTTCCAAAGTACCCAAAGAGTGGTTTCAGCCCAGTGCAGCATGGGATTATAGGTGTGTGATGGAAAGAGAAGGTGCAAGGACCTGTGGGTGCTCAAGGAGCTCAGTCAGTCAGAAYCACGCTCAAAGACAAGGAAAACATCCCTGTGCAATGCATCAGACCTACTGCCTGTTACCTGTGAGCAGCTCCTCTGATAAACCATCATACAACTGTGTCTGCTCTCCATCATTAACTTCCATTAGAAGGCAAATTTGAGCAGTCAAAAAGCAAGCTGGTGAGCGAGTTAACAAGAAACGAGGGCTATTACAACTTCTACATCAGCTCTTCCTGACACACAAGGAATCCATCCTCTTAACTGCTCTCCCTGTTTAATCCGAGTAACAGCAGTGTGTACAATCCCAAATTAACCATGTGCAGTCTCACAGATGTGCTTTCTGATCAGTTGTGGTCCTCCAAACAGCAGTGTGGATCCTTTTTGATCCTCCACTTTCCCCTGTGGGTTATCCTTTCCTTGAAGGGCTTCCTCACAAAGACTTCAAGGAAAACAAAAGTGATACATTTTCTGCTTCCTTACTGTTGAAGACTCCAGTCCTTCCAAGATGCAGTATCAGCTTCCTTGTCCTCTCAGAAGTTTCTGGTAAAATACATTCCTACATCTTCTCCTAGAAACTCAGGAAATTATCCCTAGAAAAACTTTACTTCAGCAAGACTTTTTTCTCAACGCTTGTATTTTAAGGGATTACTTCTTGGCTGTATTACCTGCCTCAAGAATGAACTAGCTCCAGGTAAATATTTCCTAAGCCAAATTATGCCACGGCTTAATATATATTTCATTTAGTTCTTTAAAATTTATTATATCCAGGAATAACTAATCATTTTCTAGCAGCAGGTATTCCTTCATTCCTTGACTTGTATATGAAATTGCATTTTCTCATATTCAGGACATGCATCTGAATTCAAACCCCGGTTTTTCCTCGAATAACTTTTATAGACTTCATTCCTCACTTCTTCTGAAGCATTTAATATCAGTTCATATTTCACAGCTAATTAAATCAGCTGATTCAAGTTTGCACCATCTCAATTTCCTAAGAAGCCTGGCCTCTAGACAGATGYTCCTGCGGTCCCTGCTGCTTCTGACAAGGTCTCAATGAAGCTTCTCAGGAAGCTGAAAGAACTTGCATTGCTGACTCCAATGCTTCTCTGCACTCAAAATAATCCCAAAAATTCTACATGCCACTGGGGCTGGGGCACCTAGGCATGCTGTAGAGCCTCCAAATATTCTAGCACTACTTCTGCAAAGAAGGCTGTAACACTAATCWTCCACACTATGGTCCCTACTCCAGCTCATCTTACACAGCAGCCAACAGTTCTTGTAGCCATGGTGATCTCTGAATATTAATTTCCTGAATCTATTATTGCTGAGCATTTTGAAGCAGCTCCCTCTTTTTCAAATTTCTGTTGTTCTCTGAATAAATACTACTTATTTAATATCAGTTTATATTTACTAATTTTTGAATGMTTTGGGATGCAAAAGCATTTTTTCACCAAGAATTTTTTACAAAGTGCATGAAGTGTAATTATATGTAGTTTTTCCTAAAAACTGAGTACTTGGGAAAGACACATAAATCTTTTCTTTGATGAAAATGAAAATATCCTACCCTGATCTGAGAGTGAAACCAGTGTATTTTTGTTTCAGTTGTAATCTAAGTTAAACTGTAACTGAAATCATTCTTGTTTGGAACAGTAACAGACCAATTACTATTTAAGTGAGTCCCAAATCACCAAGGGTTTCCAGGGCTCAACATGAGAGGTTTCAAAAGCACTATATGAAGRTTGGTCTTAAAAGGATTTTTGTTGGTCTCTCTCCCCCTGCCTGCCCAGCTGCCTCTCCTCACAAACCACTCTTCCCAGGGTAAAGTATCCCTCTTGCAACAGCCCAGCCTTGCATCTACATGGAGAAGAAAGGGCTGGCACTAGGAAGGGAGGGGTAGGTTTGAGCCAGAGTCTGGACGGGAGCATGAGAAAACAGGGAGTCTGCTCCCAATGCTAGTGCAGCTGCAGCAAGGGACAATCTGCCATGCACCTCAGTTTTTAGTTCAAATTATTATCTCAAACTGCTAAAAAACTTATATTTTTGCTCCAAATTCAGCAGATACATTAACAAGGTTTATTTTTCCTTTTGATGTTCTTTTGCTTTGATCATTTAAACTCCAGATTTGATCCCATGTCATTACGTTTGAGCCCAGAAGCTCAACCTTATTATACAGCATAAACTATTTATGTTATCAAAACCACATGCACTGTTTGGCTTTTATATCACTTCTGTTCACAGGAGCATCTGTAACAACAGTCCAGAGGCAAACATGGATCCACAACTTCCATGGTTTTTTACAAGTAAGATTTTGTTGGAAGGACAGAAAAATCTGTTACTACTGGTGGAGARGGAATTTGTTAGGACTTCCAAAACAAGAGCAAAACTTCACTGTATTTTTAGAGTCCTTTCAAGACTGTTACTTCAAGTATCTTGACAAAATGACAATGATTCTTGACATTATTCATATTCATACCTTGTGAAGTGAATTTCTGCATCATACCGCAAAGGAATTGATAAGGTGACCTGGTTGTCTGAATCTTGATGCTCCTTACTTTCACTGTTCATCAAAACACATTTGAGTCAGATGTTATAATGTTGTTTTATACAAATAAGCCTTTAATACCTAACTTACTTTCATATCATTATGTACTTTACCTCCATGCATGAAAACTTAGAACTGCCACATTCTGGAGATTTTTAAGGTTAAAATCAAAACTAATATCGAACGATACCTGTGGAAGAGACAAAGAGAGAAAATGAGTTGGTGCAACATCCAAAGGACCTCCCAACAGACACAGTTATATGTGTGTGCSACAATCTAGAACTGCCCTTTATGTGTGAATTCTCTATAGATTTCTGTGTAATATTTCAGTGATTTCTTAATATTCAGAATTTACTTTTTCTTGCATTCCTCTACAAGCTGGCATTTTTACATAAATATGAGTTTTTTGCATTTTAATAATGCGTACAACTCGCTGCAAGCTGCAACAAAAGATGCTCACAATTCCTTCCTTTTAAACTCTAACACTGATGCAAGCTTTGTATTCACTCTTTTTTCCATTTGTTCCAGCAGGTCCACTTTGAGCAATTCCATTAAAACTCAGAACAAATGTAACATTTTATATATAATTCTTTTTTATTATTCTGCATGCTCCACCACAGAACATCACATTTCTATTCTTTTTTGCAAGTTTCTTATTGCTTCAGTTGATCATGTTAAGAGGCTAGAACCCTGTTTCTGCGCTGCCCTTGAGGAATAAGAGATTCCATAAAACCATGGATATCCTGAGGTTTACAGTATATATGAAAAAACAAGATACACAATTCATCTTAGGGCTGTATGGGCCTTCCACCTCCTCTCAAAACAATGCTGCTTTCTTGGAGAGATGAAATTCACATCGGGTGAGGCAGTCACCCCAGGTTCACACTGCAGGAGGGATTTGATGGGAATTGTGCTCAGTTCTTAGGAGCCTGCACATGATGCTCTATGCTTCCCTGCCCCAACCTTCGCTCTCCAAGAGTTACGTAACTGCAGCAGCATGTGAAAGCTGTGGGTTGTGACAAATGAGGTTTGAGAGCCTTTTTTCCTTTAATCTGGCAGGGAGTCACAAATTTTAACCCCTAGTTTGCTTCTTTTAATGCCTCTGTTGTCAAATATCAGAAACCCTTACCAGTAATAAACACAGAGTTAAGGAAAAACAACAGCAGAAAAGGTTTTGGATATCATTCAAGATTATTTAAACATGCCAGCTGTACCTGTTGTCCTGTTCTGAAAACAGGATAGCTTATTTGGCAAATGACTGTGCTTTGTGCTGTTCCTGTTTGACATGAGACTTCAGTGCCATCACTCTGCAGAGAAAACAGAGAGAAACACCATTTTAGTATCAGGTTTTGATGAAGTAGAGAGGCATGCACCTTCAACAGCATATGTTTTATACTAAGGACTAGTGAAAATACGTTTTATGACAGTAATTCCTACAGATGCAACAGATGGGTGGGACATAGGAGAGACCAGGGGGAAGTCATGAGAAAGGTGGGACAAGGACCCCATGCAATTACTCGTGAGCTGTAATGATGTTGTTAGAACTTTGTGCTGAGTTTGGAAGAAGGAATGCAGGCCAGAATGCACAGGTCAGCTCCAGCATTAATTTCTACAGTCCTTTTTTACAGAACTTTCGCAGACATATTTATACATTCTTAGAGCTGGTTAAGTACTTCCACTGTAGAAGTTAAGAGTGCAAAGGGGAATTCTATCACACTTTCTGTAGGAAAATCTGCAATATGTAAGAATTTGTTTACTACTTTGCAGATGGCTTGTCATCATCCTTGACTCAAAGACAAATTCACAGGCCAGAGCCAGTTATCAATGCTTTGTGAAGAATTTATTAAAAAGTACTGTGTTTTGTAAAAAACATTCCTAGTAGACATTTACCATTCATGAATTGTGCTACAAAACAAAACCCCCGAAAAGACCCATACATACTCAGCTTATGTTTTTCTTCCTGCTTTGAAGCAGGCACATTTTTGGTCCAAACTCCACTTGCACGCTGAAGAGCTATGCAAAAAGGCTTTTAAAGAAAAAGAAAATTCCAGTGTGGTCTTTTGGCAGGAGTGGAATGAACAATTTTGCCACACAACAGGACAGGGAGGTAGAGGGGCACCCGCAGCATTGTGCACAGTACTTTTGCCAGCTCATTGTTCAGAATAATGCTGCTCTTGGGCAGGAATGAATGCTATCCCTTCTTACCCTTCAGTATAGGGATTACTCTAGATTTCACCCCCAGGATTATCATGCACCTCTTCAGTAGCAGCCTGACCATATAAGCCAAGCACTGAATTCTGCATTTCACCCTTCATTAATTGGGAGCAACAATTTAGATTATAGGTATACTGCATTCCCCAAAATAGTATACATAATTTCTYTCTTTCCCCTTTTCTAAAACAAAATTTGCTGGAAGAAGAGCTTCTGCTATAGTGATCATGTCAATCTGATTAACTGTCTAGCTGGAACACATGGCCTTGGCAGTAACACTATTTCTAAATCCAAAGTCTGTGCTTTAAGGATTCATCATCAATGCTACATGTCTGATTTATCAAACACAAATTCCCTGTGGCACAGAAACTGCTTCAGGCATGTTGCTGAGAGTTAAGAAGAAGATGTGGGTGCCAAGGCCTAAAGCGAGAAGATGTCTGAGGTGAGTTCAAACTCGACAAGTTGCCAATTTTTATGCTGAGTTGGCAGTATCTTGTCTTGACCTAAATAAACAGATATGCCACGGGAATAATTTTGGTATCCAAGAAAACAAAYTGGGAGACACACATTCTTTTCTGGAATAGGCACTACTAGAAAGATAAAAAAACATTTCTCTGAGAACCTCAAAAATCAGGGGCAGTAACAGAAACGGTGAGGTTGGGTATCACGCACCGGCAAAGATGATGAAGCAAAAAACAAGTTGTCTGAAAATGTAGCCTGGATTCTGGTGTTATATGCATTTTCCTTTTTATTTCTCAATTTCACATTGAACGTTAGTCTTCTGTTTTTGCTGCTGACAATAAATTGTTGTTTGCTGTCGGAAAATAAAGTCCATTGTTGTAAACAGAGGTACTAGAACAGCTGTGGATCAGGAAAATGTGTTGCCTGTAGCCAACAACAAATAAGCACAGCAAGACATTTCCTACATTCTACACACTTAAATGCTCTGCTCTCTAAACCCCTTGGCGTAATAAATTCTGTGATGGTGTTTACTAAAACCAGATAGAATTGGTGTCTTCTGAAGGCTCAGGACTCTGATTATTTACTGTCAAAGTCTCTTTGCTGAATTTTCAAAGTGTCTACCCTGGTGGGAAGGTGGACAGAATGGGCAGCAGACATGGGCAGCAGCTTCAGGAAAAGGCAGCCCTGTTTCTGTGTACTGGACATGTATGCACACATGTGACATGGACCAGAGCATGTGCCCCAATAGCTGACCACAGCTCCCCCCTGGCACAGCTACTGCAGGATCCTCGCTGCTCCCTGAAGGTGGGACGAAGACAGCTGCTGCTGCTCTTCCACTGTGCTCCCCTTCCCAACAGCAGCCAGTCAGACACCATTTGTCCAATACTCACTATGTCCTCACCTCTAAGGTACCAAAACTTGGGTTGGTCCAAGCTGACAAGAGTTGTGCTTCTGTTTGTGTTGCTATCTTAGCTTTTTCCTTGATTAAGCAGATTAAAATTCCATTGCTTTTTTTTATCCGTGCTGTTCCTAAGCAGATGTTAAACTAGAAGGGCATACTCCTTTAGAAATGAATCCAAAGCCTACAGACAAACTGACTGGTGAAAACTTGACACTGGATCCTAACGCTTCCACTGATTCAGCTCTTACCTGTCATCTGCCTTCTGCTGAACATTCAGGACAAGATCACAGATACAAAGTTCATCTTCACCACAGTCTTTAATAAAAGGAATCTAAGAAAAACAAAAAAATTTCCTTAATGACAGGGCTCAAACTTTAACATTATCTGCAGACACTAGAGTGCAAACACCTTCAAGCTGAAGCACATTCTTGCTTTGCAGATCAGAAAATCCCTCTGAAGTACATTAAAAATTCTTGACACATGAACAAATGAACTGAGCAATGTGTTGCCACATGTCAACTGATCCAAGAATGATACTGACAGGTTACTTTTCACTGACAACAAAGGTGATACAGTCAATTTAGTTTCATCTCTCTTTTACTGTAGAATAAATACACTGACCTAAAATAATTACCATTCTTTTTGCCATCAAGTAGAYGTTCACATCAGCAGTGACATGGCTGAGCTAACATCCTTGTTATGTCACRGTGGCTGACGTGTGCATCATGCACGCAAAGGTATAAAAGGAACCAGGGGACCCCCTCCAGGTGATTTAACTGGAACACCARTTTTCACTTGCATGTTCCTCTTCGGTGTTTGTGAGGGCCACACAATATCGATGTGTCTAAGCCACGCATTTCTGAAGAGTAAAATGGTGCATACTTACACTGTAGGCCACAGATGCAGGAGAAGATATGTCAAGGACAGGGCTGGAGGCAGGATTTGCAAGGCCAATGTCAATGCGCAAACCGAGTGAATTCACGGCATCTGAAGGCTCCTGTAAAACACATGGTTCAGATGGTGGCTGTCAGCACAAAAAACAGGGTAAAACTGGTAATTCTGTTGTGAACTGACAGTGCGTAGTAAAATCATACTCGCTCTAAACAAGGACAAGCAACAGCTCAAACCTTCATTTCTTGATGAAAATAAATTTTKTGAGATTGTCTGGTGTGGGCTCCTCTAGCTCAACAGCCATTTTAATGATAAATCTAATTTTTCTAGGATTCCTGGAGACTGTACATGTCACGGTAACTACCAGGGCTAAGTAACATGCTGATTATCTGCAGCTGYAGGAGCTGGTCTCAAAGCCATCAACAGGTAGCTCTCATCCTCATCTGGCTGCAGAAGTCAAATTCCTATTCCACTTTGCTCTTCCATCCCAAAGAGGAGCTGTGCCTGAGTGACACTAAAATACAATAAACTCCATTCTCAGTTCTGGATGAATGACCTTCTAACCCTATGGCTCATGCCTCCACATGGCACCAAATGTGATGAACTGCAAATCAAAACAGGGACTGAAGTCTTTTACCTGACCTAGCATCATGCAGCAGGGCTTAAGGCAACTCTCAGGGCTATGTTCAGTCTTGGGTTCTGAAGAAAAACGGAGACCTGCTTATTATTATTTTATTCCTTGGCATATACCAGGGGTTAGAATGTACCCGAAGTCTTCCAGAATATTAGTTTGAGAGGAARCATTTTTATATACATAGACCTTCTGCAGAAGAATCTACTCAGAGGGAAATTAAAATCTATTTAAATTATAATTAAGGGCTCTATGTTAACACCAGAGCTGAAGAACATAATTAAAAACTGTCTTTTCTGTCCTAGAAATCTGTACTGAATGTGAAAGTTACTAATTTCTATGACATTATCAATCTTACTAAGTATTTTTCAGCTGGGGGTATTTGGAAAACATAAATAACTCAGTACACCATGCATGAAATTCACCTTACAKACAAAAAATTAATCCCTGTGTCCTCTGATCACTTCTGTTATGCAAAACTACTTGCAATTTCACTTACTTGGACACTGAAGACATCATGAACACAACTCTCTTCATGAGGCACCACAAGATCCCTCTGCATGTACCTTTCATTATTTTCTTTGAAAAATCCTCTAGAAGTCACTCTGTAGGACTGGAGATCTGCATCCAATGTTGCGTTGTACTTTATAGCTACAAGAATAACAACAGTACATTTTTCACTGAGCATGGTTGCCCGTGATCTCATTACTGTGCTCAATATTATAGTGACCAGGCTTTCCAAACCACACTAAATATTTCATATTTTTCATAGCTTGCTAAACACAGGGCAGTCCCAAAATGAAAATACKTTCTGCTATGTTTCCCAAAGCAGTCAGACAGGTTTTGGTCCTGATATAAGTTCTGATCCACAGGGAGCACATTAAATGGCAATCAATCCAGCCTCCACTGCAGATGTTYGAGCCTGCAACTCAGGCACCGAGCCAGTCAGCAGGGCCAGGATTACTCTAGATAAAGGGGCCTTGCAACAGTATCAGTGAACTTAGAGGTGACTGTAAAGAATCTCTATCTTTTCTTCACATCATAATTTCTGCTGCCTGCTCTTCATATTTTGACTAATATGCTGTGGAAGTTCATTGTTATTTTATAGCAAAAAGTCATGAGCTCCTAAAGGCGCTTTACGTAGCACTGAAGCAATCCAACCGGTGTTATCTGTGAGACTTAACATAAAAACTACATGGGAGACCACTGCTGGCCACAGAAATATTCACYGTCCTCTGAAAAGAAGAGCTTCCTCCCACTGACAACTGCACTGAGCCTCTGGAAAATGTCTTGGGTTTTTTTCTGAAGAGAGAGGAGAAGTATGCAGTCTGCTGCTAAAACGGTAAGGTTGAAAAAATCCAGCTTTTCATCAACAACATTTTTGGGGTCGTTGAACAACAAGGATACAGCTCTCCTCTATACTATTAGCACTCCACGTTTCAAAGACTGTGGAGCCAGTGATGAATGAAACACTTRAAACACTTAAAATCAGTGATAATTAAAAACATTTTCTCAAGCACTTAAGTTTTATATAGATTCTTAACATTCAGTCTAATACATTTTTAGACTTCCCATTACTCATTTGAATAATGGACTTTGAAGAAATTAGTGTAAGAGAAATCATTGAAATACTCTTACCCACTTGATTATTTTTCTTAGCAGGTCTAAACGTAGCCCAAAAACATATTTTGACAGTTATGTCTGTATTCTTGTTCAGCAGACTGATTTTCTCAGGTTTAAATGAGGCAGTTATGGACACATTTGCAATGGCTCTTGACCTGAAAAATATATTTTAAAGGTTATATGGGGCTTTCAAGAACACTGGGTAACATAAAAGCTGTTGTCTAATACTATCTGTAAATGTTAGCATTGATTTCTTGGTTCCCAACGTAAACTTCTTTTAATGGCACCGGTAAAATTATTTGTCCGTACAAATACATGAATTTGTTGATAAAGTAGCTTTCAGTAATGATAAAAAAAATTTTCATGTCAAATTAATGGATAATTGCTGTCTTTATCCTAACGCTCTRATCATTCCCTCAAGGTATCAGATACTGAAGCCCTTGGCCTGTTTTCCAAATAAGTAGCCTTCTTTTGCTCCTTCAGGGAAATAACTGAGCTCTTCTGGGAAGGTGGGAATGGGTAATTCTTCATTTTATTTAATAATCTTATTTTTCATGAAAACTTCCATGTAACTAACCAATATTATGAAGAACAGTTTCAAAGGAACCCTACATGTAAAAACAAACACTTTAATAAAAGGTGACACTCATTATCAGCCCAAATGTCAGAGTGAAAGAAGAATGAGCATCTTCACTAATCAAATCCAAATAAATGTTGGTACTTCAAGGAGCATAACTGTCTTTAATGAAATTCCCAGCAGCAGCAGCAGYAGTCAAAGGTCCAAACTGACCATTCATTTTTAATTATGTTGTTTCATTATGAAAGAAGTAGAAAATTCAGTGATGTTTTTCTTACAATGGGGAGCCTCAGGCAAGAAGACAAGCAACTGATAGGAAAGGGGACAGCATTTGAATTTGGCTCCTTAAGCAAGGAGTGGAAACCCCATACTAGCGAGGCAGGCAGAAGATTTGTGAAACCTTTTTATATTTTGTGAAACATTCAGACTTCTGTGGCAAAGGCCATGTGCCATTAAAAATGTGTTTCTTGAGAAAAACAGGTGTCAACTCTGCATTGACTGCTCTCCCTYCGTACCTTGCAGGACAACACTTTCCCCTATAACAGCCTACCAGCCAGAAAAGGTCATGCAGGCTGTGTGACAGGCAGTTCTGCCCATCTCAGGCTCAGCTATCAAAATTATACTGTGGCTACTGAAGTACACAACCTGCTGTTAAAACACTCTCCAACAGGTGCCATTCCCTCTGTTGCCCCTTCCCTCCGGRCCATGTGTCTGCACAGCAGAGGCAGGCAGATGTCTCCTGGCCCTCCCAATCCTAGTCAAGTGCCTCCCAGCAGGCTCTGCCACCTGGCATCCTCCCACATACCCTGGCTCTGCCCTCTGTGCTGCCTTGGCTTTCAGTGGTTTAATGATAAATGCTTAAAAGATATTTAATGATAAATGGTTAAAAGATATTTAGCCTAATGCTCTTTTTTTAGCTAGTTTTGATAGAAGTGGTGAGGCACTGTGTTAGCATTGAACACAGGAACGAAAAAGCTTTTTTGTTTGCTTATTTTCCTGTTTAACTAAATGTTCAAGTGCTTCACCTGAATCATTAATTACTTCCTTTCTAAGAAACTGTATACCAACCATAGTACAACCACATTTCCATCAGCACCAGCAGATACGTCAGTAATGCCATCGTCATCTAAGTCTCTATGGCCATCTACTGATCTTCCAAAGAACTGGAGCTTTTGTCCAAAAGCAGAATCTGATCCTAGGATTTTCTAGGAAAGAGAGTTTGGTTACTGATTTTGCCAAAGCATGCTTAAGTCTGTAGATAGCAGCCTAAGCAACATATTTTCACTGATACTCCCTGTATATTCAATGTATTGTGTAAACAAATTTTATTTGTAGGTGTTCTCTCAGATGTTTTTAGCACTTCTTTCTCCTCTGTTGGAGCAGACAAAGGACTAGATTATTCTGTCTTGGGAGCAGATCAACTGAMTGCTGTATGCCAGATACAGATGGAAACGTCTTCCACCTCACATTGAGCAACTCAGAGAATATGAAGCTTAATAGAGGTTCTAACAAATATTTTCTGCCACCAGAAAATCTGCATGGAAAGTGCTATTAACATTACATAACCATTAAAGTATATATAAAGACCACTGAAAGACTTTCCTTTTAATACTATGTATTTGTAATTTGGCAGATCTGGGATTTATCTAATCTTCATTGCTGTATATCAACAGTAAAAACCTGGAAATAATGGGTGTGAAAAACATTTAGAAAATTAGCTGACTTCACACTCATCGAAAATGGCTCAAAATGTGCATCTTGCACATCCTTTTCCTCTATATGGTTCAGTTACAAGAACCAGTATATCAACATGGGTATGCTGACAGCTGAAGGAAAGAGAGGCACAAAACTTAGAATAACAGTACTCCTTTAAGAGGATGAAACAGTAGACAGTTAAAACACAGAAAACCTTCAGTTTTCCTCTAGCAGATCTAACGGCAATGCATACAGGATTRTGCAACTAAAGTTAGTTACCTGAGAATATTTGGTATGTATAGTCTTTTGAAATCCATTATAGATGTAAATTGCTCCAGCGTTTTGGTTTTCCAGTGGTGCACCTATTACAACATCATTAAAGCCATCCAAATCAATGTCTGCAAGTGCTGCAATTGCTGATCCAAAGCGCGCATTTTCTGACCCCTGTGGACCTTCCAAGAGTTGTTGTTGATCCAAAATTCTCTTTAAAATTTGACAAAGAAGAAAAAGTGAATACACAGCTATTATTGCACCAGATTCGGCATAGGAGCAGTATCTATGTGCATTGTTTTTTGTTTGTTTTCCAGTACATTCCCCTTGGACAACTCAACRTTGAATTCCTTCCCCATTGTATTGCCCATTCAATTTGCATTATGTCTCAAAGTCTTGGCAAGAATTACCCAGCAAAATCAAAGCATGCTATGCAAAGTACTAACAGCAAATATAACCATATGTACGAAGCTTAAATGCTCTCACTGTCCTCATCTGACTGTTCTGAAAGTTTCACAATACATTGAAAAATACAGTTTCCAGTTTTGGATTACTGTTTTTTATGCAGAGGGAATGGAAATTATGTAACTGGACATAATTCTTTGAAGCAGAAATGGAATTTCCTTACTAAACTAATGCAAAAAACATGTGTCCAAATGGTAAACTCCTGACCTCTCCAATGCCAATGAAGAAAGACTGGAGATCTTCATAGTTGAATAGTCCCATTTACACCAGATTAAATGCGACTCTGGCAAACAGGATTCTCAACTTTCACCTCAGTTATCACACCATGGTTAAAATTTTAGAAATAACAGCCAAGTTATTTATTAATCATGACTAGAAAAGTATTACTTGCACAATGGGACAACTTGCACAAATCCAAATTCCTTTCAAAATATTTTTAAAATATTTCATTACTCTTAACATTTAAATAATTTTAAACCTATCATTTGATGACTAAAAGTTGTAAGATAGTCTTCCAATTTATTTTGTTTTCAAAAGCAGAGAAAAAAAAATCTTTCATTTTTCCTTTCTTTCATATTTTGCGTCTGATACCATAGGCACAAAGACAAGTGTCATCTGTCAGACCTTTCAGCTGCTGCATCTACCTTGAAATTGCTTTAGGGTAGTTTTCTGTTCCTTCAGTATAGTCTGACTGAGGTGCTGAGAAGAATGGTCCTTTCTCTCTATTTATTTGATTGCAATTTACCTAGTAAAGAGACCACGTTCTGTTTTCTCTGATGAAGGCAGATATTAATTCACTTTCCAAACATCCAGTGATTGAAACACTGATCAAAAGTGCCAGAGGGCTCAGTATGATTAATGCAGATATTCTGTAAACACCTGCTACTGGTCTGAATAAAAATGTCAGTCAAGCATCAAACAAGTAACACACCTTTACTGGATAGTGCAGACAACAAGAATTATAGTAACCATCCAGTGTCAGTCTATGAAACAATGCAGGAAACTGGTAGAACATTTCTTAGAACTGCTTTGGGAATACTCTCAGCCATTGAATACATTCACCAAAAACAAAAGGCAAATTAATCAGCAAAAGCCTTGAGCTAGGCTTCTCAGAGATACGGCCAACTCATGRTATGTTGCATGAACCACATTGTCTGACACCAGGACCAGGCAGACACCAAGAGCACAGGACCCTGACTTCAAACAGTTCTCAGCTTAGATACTTCCTTGCTCGTTGGCTCCATGTCATCTGTTCCAGCTGGAAAATTCCCAGATCACATGCACAAGCAATTCTGGGGAAAAWTTGCAGCTGTTACTGAAAAGCCAAACATGTGAGGAGCACTGGGAAGGCCTCCACACACAGTCCTCTAACAAGGTAGGCTTGGCACCAYACACCCCTGCCCTTATGCCATATCACAGGAAAAGCACATGCTCTGTTTCTTGCAAAAGAAAAAAAAAATCTTGAAACATTTCCAACATTTTGAAAAGATTCAGTAAATAGTGACTTAAGAGTATCAGGAGAGGCCAAAGCCTTTCAGCATGCATGTGACCAGATTTGAAAGATGTTAGCCCTAAGCAATGATTCCTTGAACCACTTTCACCTTTGTGACGGAAAACATGTATACTCTCCCTTCTTCTCTCTTCAGGTCATTCATAAACATTGGTGCACCCACAAGCAGCACATCTGTCACAGAATCCTTGTTGACATCCACTGAACACAYCACACTGCCAAAGTAGGAGCCAATCTGAAATTAGTAGTAAATGCGCTGTCACTGTATATGGTTTTTGTAAGTYATGTTTTAGCACCTAATTCAGAAATTTTAGATCCAGTAATATTGCAATACTACTGAATGCTGATGAAGTTGCTATGTAGCATACTCCACTGGTGGAGTAATCACATCCTTACCATGTTTCATGTTTTCTGCCCCATAGTGCTGCTACGGCTTTACCACTCAGCAACACAAATGCCAGCAGAAAGTAAAATGTGTGAGAGCAATATTTTCTTTATAACTGCACATGAAACAACCCAGCCTCTGATCTACTCTCAGATTTCTTACAAATTATACCAAATTCTTTTAAAACCATTCCKCCTTTCTAAATTGAGAAATAGACATCGAGCTTCCAGATCTGTCTTCCGATGTCATCTACTTCACAACTTCTCATGCAGAGCAGAGTTCACCGAGTCTCTCCCAACGTGCATTGTTGACTGAAGGATACATTAATCAGATATGTATATTATCTTTTACCATTAATTGGATGACTTCCTAAAATACTGTTTTAGTGTAATAGCTAACCTCGTTGAAATAGTCTAGAGGCAAAGAAAAGTTCACATGGATTCTAAATGCTTTGAAAGAAAGAGAATTTTCAAAACAAATTGCAGTTTACTGCTGGGTCAGTAAAAATTCCTCAAAGCCTCTATTTATGACCCAAATATACTCGCCTGCTCGCCTCTCTGTGACTGCACAATTGCAATATTACCGTCACTGTCAACATCATAAACCACCACTCTCCCAGTATAGTTGGATCTTGGTGCACCAGCAACAAAATAGACAGAGCTCACAGTTGAGAGAACGGCAACAGAATAACCTGGGGATAGAAGCCAACATTTAATTTAACATGTCTGAGAGAGCAATAACTACAATTCATCAGTCGGTTATCCATAAAGGTGCAGAGGATGAGTCAATCTGGTACGTCACTTGCAGAGAATGATGATTCCAGATGGGAAGTTATGCTGTCACATATGCATAAAATTTGCAAGTGTTCTCCTGGAGAGAACAGTGACACACAGATCAAGTCGAAGCAGGTTTACAGAATAACATGGACAATAGTTTAGCCTATTCAGTAAAATGCAGACCACAAAAATGTCATGCTTGCGAAGGAGATAGGAAAAAAAMCAGTGCAAAGAGTATCCTTGGAAAGAAGAAATAAAGAGAAATATGAGATGAACATTTGGACCAATCTTCAATCTCAGGAGGAACACCTAGCTTTTGCAAAGTTTTCAGCACATTTGCCCACAGCTCACTAAACCACAGACCAGTGCTTTGTCTGAACAGGGCAGGCTACATTAACAGCTTGTCAGCTGAAGGGTTGATTGAACTTCTTCAAACATTTTAATCCTCATTACCATTATTCTAGTATTTATTTGCTTTCAGAAAACATCGTTTAATACCTGAAAATATTTTAAACATGTATTAGCAGTATAAATCTAGAATTACTACATACTTTACATTTCTGTGGTTTAGTTCCAGCAAATTAATTTTAAGGAAAGTAAACAAAGTCATCCTTTATAAAGGTTATAGTTAAGTTCAGTAACAAAATGCCAGTGATGGGACAGAATATGGAAATTCCTTTAACAAGCTACAGAACAATATGAGGAGCACAGTTGAAAAYGATTATGCCTTGATCCTTACTTTATATCAGCCTAATTCAGATTTTTGTTCAGACACTTTTTTCCTAGGGTGGGAACAACTTTTGTGACTGGAAGTTCAATGAGCAACTACAAAACCAAGATTGTATTCTGCAAGTTAAGTATGCACCTTCCTAATTAATACAGAATACAGTGATTTGAAGTGAGTGGGTGCAGTGCAGAACAGGGGTCAATCGAGCAAGCTGTCATGTTTCAGTAGCTCTTTGACTTATGGTCTCCCAAGCTGGTGAGAGAGAGCTGGTATGGAGAGTTCCTACTGGGGAACAGAAAGTGGAAGGAAAAAGAAGGCACAGAAAAGGCAATAACACTGTTTCCTCCAGAAAGATTAAAGTAAATACACTAAAACTGCCTTGTAGAGGAAGGAAATGACCTGACCTTTTAAAAATTATTTTAAAAATGAAGAGAATACTGAACAGGTCATACATGCAAAAGAGCTACTGCTCATTAGGTTGGGTTTAGATTTATTCATTTTATTGGATGCAAATAGGGAGCCATAGGGAAAAAAAGAGGATGTTAGTTGCAAAGATAGTATCTTATTAAATAACTTAAAAAGTAAGTAAGTCATAGGTACTTCATGCAGTAGCATTACTCAGGGATGAAACATGTTGAAGGTTTGCAGAAAACTTTTAAATGAACTGAGAATACAGACTGGCTGTATTCTCTGTGAATAAAAAAATATGAACTGGCTCGCTTTATTGGGTCACAAAAATATGTATATGGAGATTATAAGTAAAATCTCTACTAAAAGGTAGCAATATTCCAAAAGTACAAACTGAACTGCAAAAGGCTACGGAAACAGCAAGCACACATGAAACAATAGAAAGTCATTTTCCCATGCATATCAAACAGGGSAAGAACACACAAATATTGTAACAGAAGCGACTCATAATGATCAGTATGATTCACTAAGCAGCCTTTTCAAATCCCACARTTTGTTATGCCTCTGTGACTGCTGGTTTTGGCTGGAATACAGTTAATTTTCTTCAGAGCAGCTGGTATGGAGCTGTGATTTATGCTGGAACAGAACATGCCGATAACATAAGCATGCTTTAATTACTGCTGAGCAGTCTCTGACAGTGTTAAGGCTCTTTTCTCTCCTTATCCCACCCTGCCAGTGAGGATGATGGGAGGAGCACAAAAAATTGGGAGAGGACACACCCAGGACAGCTGCCTACATCTAACCACAGGGATTATCTCATTCCATATGGTGGTATGTTCAGCATGTAAAGCTGGAGGAAGAAGGAGAAAGGAGATCTTCAGAAYGGTAACGTTTATCTTCCCAAGTCACAGCTGTGTGTGCTGGAGCCCTGCTGTCCTGGGAATGGCTGAACACCTCCCTGGCCATGGGAAGCGGTGAATAAATCCCTTGTTTTGCTTTGCTTGCATGWATGACTTTCACTTTCCAAGTCTGTCTTTCARCCCATGAGTTCACTGACTTTTGCTGCTCCGACTCTTCCCCAACCTCACTCCACTCAAGAGGAGTGACTGAGTGGCTGCTTGCTTGCCAACTGGGGTCAAACCATAGCAGTGATAAAGACTGATATTATTTTTCCACTTTGATATTAGCAGAACTTAAAAACACAGTAAAGTTTTCATTCAATGGCTTCTTGACTAGTAAAAAAAAAATCTTTTTTGACCAAAGATTCTTTCCATATTCTCAAATCRGTTCTTAATACAAATCTGGCTAGAGGAGAGTTTTCCAGCTTCTTAAATATCTTAATCAATTTTCATACATTTCTAGATTTGTATTTCAGCTCCTTACCTAGATATGAGCTATGATTTCTGTCCTGTAGAATCTTCTCAAACACATGGCTTGGAAAGGTGGTGACTCTGTCTGAAGACTCCTGAACTATTGTTCCACTCCAGTCATAGGCCCCAACAGCACCCAGCAGCAGAACATCCTTTAAAAAATAAAAGTTAACATTTTAGAATGACTTGGTTTAGAAAAAAGTGTGAGCAGAGCTGAAGCTACCATGTATAATTTCCTGCATCAAAGTGTTCAAGGCAGCGATGAAGACCGAAGGCTGCAGGCAGTGGACGGGATCTGCTCACAGCTCCGCTGATGAGCAGGACTTTACTGCCCTATTTAGAGGGATTATTACCCTTCTACTGCAAGAGARTAAGTGATTGCTTTAGTTCCCATGGCTCTGCAACTCATGATAAAATGGATTTATTTAAACACTGTGATAATTTCCTAAGTCCGCCCACCCTAGGGTTGGAATTGCTCAAACCATGATTTTATGCACTCATGATCCTCAGAAGACTGACAATCACACGAATGTAGCTGTATCAAAAAGATAAAGCCCTCTTTTTGACAACAAAAGTGCTAATGACAGGACACAAAAACTGATGCAAATAGGTACAGAGCTTAACTTTTTACATAAGGAGATGCTCTTGAGAGAACAGCTACATCTAAAATCTAAATTAACATGGCTTCTTATACAGAATATTTCATACAGAAATACTTAATCTTGTACACAGAGAACAAATAGTTTAGATTATTCAAATTATTAAAATTCTTCAGTAAACTGAGTTACTGTTATGGAAAACTGCAATAAAATTGAATGTGTAATTTTTCTGAATACCCGCATGTTCTTATCTTTTTACCACTTCTTAGCATCAAGTACTTAATAATGTAAAACTTCAATTTGCGCAAATACAGAGGACTTTTAAAATATTGTTTACTTTCTTGTAATTATTACACTTTCTCGTATTTTCAATTGAAAGCTTATTGAACCCCACTTGGTTTTTACAAAAAGGACTTATTTGGCAAAGATAATCTTAAAATTAATTAGCATGAAAATGCATATTTTTAAACCTAATTTTTAAGTGAAATATGCTTTAAACAAATATTATTAACTTTATAATTTATAGACAAATTATTTTCAGACTTTATTTATTTATATCTTGGTGACTGTCTACCAGCTTTACAATATAGTTAGTCACAAGCATGGAGGAATTAAATTTTTCCTACTACATGAACTCAGAAATCACTGAAATAATTGTATTAATGCATCTCAAAACCATTACATGAAACAAACAATAATACTTATTAATATATATTCAAGTACAAATAAATTAAAAAGATAATTTGACATTCTCCTGCTTGTAAAAAGACCTTAAAATTTGACATTATAATTATTTCTCTTCCACTCATGTATACATACTTACATCTATTTATATCATTAAATAATTAAACTCACATACCTTTTTTTGTGAGTAATATGCACTGAAGCCCACCTGTGACATTTCCATTTGGAAAGTATCACCTTGATCTGTACCTGGTAAAACAGATATGAATACATGGTTATCTCCATATAAGGGCACAAGATCCAGTCTTGCTGCCTCTGCATTTAGCTGTATAGAGGCTGTATACATCCACCAATTTGGCTAAAGCGTTTACAAACAACAGAAATCAGAGCTGGTAAACTAGAAAATCTGGAGGATTTAATGGCAAGTTGGTAAGATGGAGCTATGAGCCATGCTATAAGTCTCCCCCCCCCCCCCCAAAAAAGAGGCAGAAGATGATGATAAAGATGGTTTGAATCAATTTGCAGTCTTGTCACCGTGGCTGATCTTTTTGATTTTCCTAGGAAGCACTGATAGACTGCAACTAGCAGCTTTAATAACTGTATATTCACAACTTCAAAATGGAATATGAATTTTTATTTTCATATAGGAAATATATTTTTCATCTAAAAAATGTTGTAATCGTCTTGAAAAATACTGTGACATCCATTTCCTAAGCTAGATCGATGGGAATTCAGTGCGAGTACTCAGGAAAAAGACCTATTCCCTTGCTTTGAGCAGCAGCACGGGCCTAGTAAAGAATAAATGGAGGTGAAAGTGGAAGGAAGATTTCATCCTGAGCACAGGACAGTGGCAGCCACAAACTTCTTAGGGAATGCTGAGGGCAGGTTTCACTTCTCCAAAGCAAGGTCTGAATTTAACTTCAAATTTAAAAGCTGGCTTTGTGCGGACAAAGCATCTGTTATCACCTCTGCAACACCTTCCCCTGAACAATACACAGGAGTGTGGGTGGTGCTGGGGAGCAGGCCTGGTAGGCACCACACAAATTGCATTTTCAGTTCTGTAATCAGTAACCTTGTCTTCTGGTTTGTTTGGTTTTATTTCTTTTTAAATATAAACTTGCTTAGGATTCACACAGGTGAAGCTCACAAGCAATAACTTCCAATACATTTGGTTGAACATGGAAAAGCCCCCATGCCTGAAGCCCATAACATGACAGAAATTTTCATCAACTGGGGAATATTTTCCACAAACTGTAYAAATTAGCTTGAAGCTCACGCTAATCAGGGGTGAAGCAGCTGGAGTGCAAACCAGAGCCCTCATGGTAAGCATGGAGTAGCCTGCAGCTCCAGCAGCCCCTCGTTTTCACACTACTGCACTAAGCTAAAGCTAAATAAAATCCTAAACCAGTTATCTGGGCCAATCTGGTCTAATTTTTCAGAGATGTTTTACCTTCTATACTAAAAATGCGCTCTCCAAGTGTTCCTGCTTCTTCCAGTAGTGCAGCTTCAGATGACACATTGAAGAAATACTTTTCTGTTGGATGACTAGCAATTCCCTTGATTTCTTTAATTAAATTTTTAGTATCAAGTTCATGCCTTATTAAGTAACCCAAAACCTTGTATAAAAAAACAAAACAGCAAAATAAGACGTGTGAAAGAAATCATGATGCTACTCCATTTCCTTCTGTAGTATTTTAGCAAATATACATATTAAAAAAACCCAAAACCCATAATCCTATTACTGAATGCTTATTAGGGTTTATTCCTATGCAAAATACCATTTGTACAGGAAAGATACATAAGCCATGGCAAAGGAGAAAACCACTAAAGTTGCTCAGGTAATTCTAGTCTTGCTTTTTCAGCGAGTAAAAAGATCAGTATTTTACAAATTCATTGGCTTAATCTGACTTTTTTCAGTCTCACTGGCATAAAAATGCATGCATTAAACACCACTTATGTATGGAACATGCACTTTCATACAGACACAACAGAACAATCTTTCAAAAATGCAGTAATGTATAATTTTAGTGTTACTTACAGCAATCCCAAATCTGGTTATATTGTCTTCATTGCATTTACCTATCACTGTTTTCAAGTTGGAGCCATCGTGGGATTCACCGTCTGTCACAACCACCATTACCTTTGTGGCTGTCGGGCGTCCTCCCGATTCAGGTGAGAAGGCATACTGTCTGTTATGAAACATTGGGTTTATCACACATTAATCCATAATAGATGGAACTCAGTACATACACTCTAATTAATATGTCCATCACTGAATTAAAACAAGGTGCTTTGAAGTACACAAGAAAAGTAACAAAGAAGTAGAAAAAAATTAAAATGTAGGACTGGATGGACTGGATGGTGTTTCTGACAGAAACTTTAACTCCAGGAAAACCAGTACCTTTTTTTGTACAAATATTTCTAAATGAAAGGGGGGTTTTATCAGAATTATTGAAGTTTTATGATACCAGGAACTGGCATCACCAAGCTCAGACAAAAGTGGAAGAAAATTAGTAATAGGCTTCTCAATATTACTGCAAATATTGACTCTATTGTAGGCCGAGTCTGYTTCCAAACGAATTCTCAAATCCATTTGATTCAGCATACATTTTGGCCTACAGTTCTGTACTTGATTCAACTTCAAAACAGCAGTTTCTCTTCCTGTTGAGAAACAGACCTGGTTTCTACAGGTATTCAGAGTCAATAAACATTGTTTAATGTTTTCACTATTTTTCACTCTTATGGTGCTGCAGTGACAAACTGAAAAGAGACAAGAGGTTTTATTTTCTATACTATCAACCAAAGCCTGACCTGCAAACACAAATGTTACTGGGCCCACTGAATCCCTGGATAAGCTTCTTTCAATAATTTTGTGTCTTTACTAAAATCTCGTCCACTATGTTTGATGCACCGTCATGTTTAGAGATCTATGACAGAACAAACAGTTCTGTTGGATACCAGAATTACTTTACAGTAGAGTTTAACCCAATAGTTAACAACACAATTTTCAGCAATTCTGTAAATGTACCTGACAGAATCTGCCTAGTGCTGGCAACCTACTCAAGAGGCCCTGTGCATATGGTCTCCCAGTGGGAATGAAATTCCAGATGTTCTCATCGCCATGTAACATAAGTTACAGCAGTTGTACAGTAAATCATCAATGCACCTCACCTTGCATTGTCAATGGCTTTGAAAGTATTAGTGAGATCCCCGCCCTTCTGAACCGTTTTGTCCATTGCTGCAACAACCTCATCCTTAGTTTGATACGTATTCAAGTTGAAGACTACGCGGGGATCATTAGCGTACTGAATTAAACCCACCTATGCAATAAAAAAAAAATGATGTCAGATTATGATGCTTTACAACTAGTTACATAGAATCGTGATGCTTATTTATATGTCAGGTTGGTGTAAAAGGTCTGCASATGCATAATTTTCTTTCAATACATATAAAACCAATTAATATTAACACATTTGAAGAGCAAAGAAAGCTAAAATACTCTTGCATTTCAGGTCATTTGTTATGGACTACAGTATGTTACTGCAAACAGTCTCTGAAATAGTAGACATTAAATGTTTGCTTGGTTACTTCTGGAAGAGCTGATGGATAGCAATAATACAAGGAGCTCTGGAACAAATGAGAAAATAGCAATAATTCTACAAGCTAACAGCACCTCAGTCTGATCTCTTGTAAGGAAGTCCTAAAGGTTAGTTACTTTACAGCACTGCAAACCCTCTTTATTTTTAATATAGATGAAGCTAAAGATGTATGGTAAGTTGTACACTTAAAATGAAAGAAAAAAAAAAAGAGAAGATGCTAAAGGTGAGGTTCAGAAAGAACTGAGCAGRAAGCCTAACTTTTAAGCACCTCACTTCCAAAGTAGCCCAAGGAAGAAGGCAGCCTTTGGGAGAGAGATTTCCAGTGCCCCAGTCTTTGTTCCCAGTTTAGGGAAAATGGACAACTGCAAAGACAGAAGATGTTTAAAACAAAAAAAAAAAAAAAAAAAAAAAAAAAAAAAAAAAAAAAAAAAAAAAAAAAAAAAAAAAAAAAGGCAATGAAATTTTTCTTACCATCATCAAATCAAAAGGAAAAAACCCCTCAAAGACCAGTGAGTAAACCAGCAGGAAAAATCTCCAGTTTTAAAGATATAGCAATTGGAAAGTAAGAGCTGAATGAAAAGCCCAATTAAAAGCTTTCTACTTTTATCACATTCCCAAAGGCTGCATTTTCAACTACTTTTACACCTAACGCATGAAAGATATCTGACTCCCTTAGATACAACTTAGACTTCTATTTCAGTTAATTTGTATTTTGGGTCAAATTACTAATCCCTTTTGAAAGAGGCTAACCATGAGATAAAATCCCCAACACTGAATAGGATAGCTGTGTAATCTGTGGCATTGAGGGAGGTACTGCAGTTACACAAAATCATGCTTGGTGTCCTTTAAAATTGGTTGTTTTGGGTTTTGTTTTGTTTGGGKTTTTTTTGTCTTTCTCAAGTATTTCTTTGACTTACCTGGGTCTTGTTAAGGCCTATGTCTAAGCCTTGTACAAATTTTTTCAAAAATGCCCGCACTGCTTCCCAGGGATAAATGCTGTTTGACTCATCACAAACCACCACAACGTCTATAACAGAGGAACACTCTAAAACAAAAATAAGAAGTGGACATTAAATGCACTTGCAGTATCAATACACTCTTCAGATAAATCCAGAGATGAATATTTAGGTCTCACACATGCAGCACTTCGGATCAGAAGGCTTTGCTAGAATGAGGACTCAACAGGAGCATATGCAGATTTTGAGTCTGCACTGGCACAATGCCTCTGAATACAGAGGATTAAGAGCATACTCATATCAGCATAGGATCACAATTTGTCARTCTTATATATCAATCACAGGACTTTGCTTTTGGCACATACATTTATGTAAGAAATCAAAATTAACAATCCCCCACACAATGCATGTTGATTTTGTTTGATTTGTTTGTTGTTTAATTTAATCTATTTTCACATGTTGCCTTACTTTGAACAGCAGGAGAAAAGCTTCTTATGATCTCGAAACTTGGACTGATTTCAGAACAAACTCCTGTTGCATAGTATTGTCTTCCACACTGCTGTGCCCACAAGGGCCCACAAGTCTTAAAAAATAACAACAAAAAGAAACTATTAAAATAACAGATACTTGTCTCACCATATCTACACACAAAGCCACCACAAGCAGGACGACAAGGATATAGGATCAGACAAGCTCTCTTGGGTTAAGAGGCCAAATCCCGTTAGCCAGTGTGACCCCTCTCACAGACTCTCGGATCAGACGCGCGGGTTTCGTGCCGGTGCCGATGCCAGGTGCAGTCCCGCCGGTGGCCGGCAGGTGGCGGCAGCGCCCCGAGCGCGGGCTGAGCCCGGCGAGTGCGGAGCGCGCTGAGCCCCGGCAGCCTCGCCCCGCGGGGAGCACTGTCCCAGCGGGAATGCACTATTCCAGCGGGAATGCACTATTCCAGCGGGAATGCACTGTCCCTGTGGGAATGCACTGTCCCAGCGACAATGCACTATTCCAGCGGGAATGCACTGTCCCAGCGGGAATGCACTATTCCAGAGGGAATGCACTGTCCCATCGGGAATGCACTGTCCCATCGGGAATGCACTGTCCGAGCGGGAATGCACTGTCCCATCGGGAATGCACTGTCCGAGCGGGAATGCACTGTCCCATCGGGAATGCACTGTCCGAGCGGGAATGCACTATTCCAGCGGGAATGCACTGTCCCAGCGGGAATGCACTGTCCCAGCGGGAATGC